TCCTCTTTTCTTGGCCCAGCCATAGACAAGTCTGCAGTCCAAGTGGCACAGAACACAAGCAAAGCCATTCTACAGGCCTTTTTTTTCCACCAAGGGGACAGAGTTCATCCCTGCTGCATTACAAGTAGCTAATGCAAAATTCTGTCTCAGCTGTTATATGACAATGAATTCAAAGTTTTAATTCAGCTGTTGAACATGTGCCCTCAAACCTATGACACTCACTTTCTGGAACACCTAGGAGTGCTTCATCTGCAGAGCTATGACTAGAGGCTAGTCTAGTATCTGTAGAGTCTCTACCGCTTGGTCTCCTGCCTTTCAGTATTGGTTAAAGGTTGTACAGTATATGCTGAACCATTCACAGGTTACCTTTTTTTCTTGCAAAAATATGTTATTTATTAGTTCCTGGTTCAAGGGATTTATTGATAAATTGGTGTGGGAGGACATTGCCAGCTTTGCCCAGTTGTAAAGGTAGACATCATCAGTTATCTGAGGCCACAACTAATTCACAACTTTGGGAGTCCAATGGTTCATTATGTACTGTATACATTTTTTAATACATGTCAGTTAAAACACTCATCTATGGCTCGTCAACAAAGAGCAACTTGCCTTCAACACCTAAAACTATCAAACAGCAGAAAGAACAGCCAGAAACTCAACAATCTAGTCACAATCTTGACTCAGATTCTACCACAAGGTGTACATTTAAAAAATGAAAGACTGGATGCAAGGATATAAACTCATATGGGTGAGTAATCCTACAGTCCTAATGATGTTGACACATGCATGCATGGATATACACAGACAAAACTGCAGCATACGTATTCTTGTGCACAAGCCAATGCAAGCACAGTTCCTCATTCCCTTAGTAAAGGCACAACCAGAAAACTACAGGTGTACAAGGTGCCTCCAGGAGAAAATACTTGTTTGTTTGTTTTTTGCCACACGCAGGCAGCTTTCATTCACCAAGAGCAGAGATTCTCAATCTTTGGCCAACCACAAATTTGCACTTTAACTCTCCAGGTCCTTGGCCGCTGCCCAGCCTGGAAGCTGGAAAGTGAAGTCCAAAATGTCTGAAGGATTCACAGTTAGGAATCACTGATACCATGCATTCATGAGTCACAAGACTGCAACAGTAACACAAACACTTTTACAAGACCAATCTCATATACCACTCACTGTTGTAGTAGCGTTCTTGCGACGATGGCAGCCTGAGACCAGCTGGGCCTTTGGAAGGGGCCCATCCTGACAGCCAAAGAAATTAAGAAAGGAACAAGAAATGAAGGACTGCAGGCAGAGGCCACTTGCTCAGTGACACTGGAAGATGAACTAGTCTGAATGCCTAGCCCAAGAGAGTCAGAAGATGCACTAACACAGCACTTGTGTGACTGACCAAGTGGGTTATTCATCTCGACACAAAATAGCTAAATCTTTTAATTAGATTAACAGAAGAAAGGAAATCTTTAGATAAGCAAAGTCAAGTACAGTATGCAGGATTTCATACTAATCTACCACAGTGCTTCCCAACTTTGCATCCCCAGATGTTTTTGGACTCAAACTCCCAGAAATCCTTGCCAACACAGCTAGTGGTGAAGGCTTCTGGGAGTTTGAGTCCATGACCACCTCGGAACCCAAAGTTGGGAACCACTGATGTACAGTAATCTCCATCCTGATATCCTCCAGATGTTGCTGACTATTAACACGAAGCCTCCCAAGCCAGCCCTGCTTTCTATGTCATCGTGCTCGACAAAGAGACATTTTATCTTAAAAACCTGCACAGAGAAATTTGTGCATTTTTAACTGGCCTAATAATAGCATGACTGCCAATGAATCCACAGATTCCATTTTTATTGGACTTGTGAAAACCTCCACAGATCATTTGAAGACAGACAAAATGCTTGGAGGCTACAATTCTCATCGTTCCCTGCATGGCAGCAAAAGAACTTGAATGCTTTTTCATAACTTTTTGTTTCTTGCTTTACAAATGCTGACACAAAAAGAGGTAAACGAGAGACATTTGTGTTTTGATTTCTCCCGACTGGCAACTCTTATAAACTACCATAATGTTTGTAGTCAGAGAGCAGTCCTATGAAGCAGACACTTTAGACTAAAATCTGTGATAGCACTGTTTCCTTGTAAACAGAGCAGGTAGTAATATTCCTCATAGGGAAACAACCATAATGGCAGAAACAAGCTGTTTTTTCCCCCAATAATAATATTTTTGAAAAATAGAGAATATTTTCATACATGCCTATGGGTTCTGCAATTGAACTACAGAAATATATGTTTTTAGAGTTTATGACTTCTAGCAACATATGCAAGAAAAAACATTTTTCTGGAATATGCATTATCTGTTGCTAGTAAGGTCTCTAAATGAGACCTTACTAGCAACAGATAATGCATATTCCAGAAAAATAAGTTACTTTCCATGATCAATATCATTGACTGAATACATTGCATATTTATGCAAAAAACAGTAGTTGAATTAAAAAGAGAGGGAAATTGAAGCAATTTAGATGTTTCACATGCTGGTTTACACTATGTTCCATTTCTGGTAAGAGAAATCCTTTTTTTATGTGTGTCAATGTTTAATTGCTTAAGGCTCTTATATTACAAACCAGATTCTTTTATATTTTAATGTGGTTGAAGTGTCTACAAATAATGATTTTCAACACAGCAATCAGTTTTTATGTTCTATGTATAGACCTGAAGCATACATTCTTTAATTAAAAGAAGAAAAGACTACATGTGTGAGCTTGATACACAACTTTATTTTCTACTCAGAAATGAGAGGGGGGAGACAACATAAGATGAATACGAGAACATGATTTCAGCATAAAGATTTCTATAATTTAATTTTCTGCCCAGAGGCAGGCTTTATAGCCATTCTCAACGGGGGGCCATATGGCCCTCTGGGACATCCTGGCACATTTGAAGGGGGCCACAGATTCATCTATGAGCTATGCCATCTTGGAACTGTTTACTTTAAATTAATTAATTGTTAAAATTGTAAACTTATGATTTATATTTTATATTGCTTTGTTTTTAAAATTGTTTTATTGTATATGTTGTGAGCCGCCGAGTAGACTATGTCCAGATGGGCGGCATATAAATGCAATAAATAAATAAATAAATAAAATCTGTTCCTGTCACATCCTTGTTTGAACACAGTTAAAGGCTTTCTTTATTTGATGGGGGCGGGGAGTTCTCAGAACCTGAGAAGAGCTCCTAAAAGGGCCGTCGCAGGGAGTTCCCAGAACCTGAGAAGAGCTCCTAAAAGGACCGTGGACAAAAAGAGGTTGAGAACATTTATCCAAGGATATCAAGAAGATTTTTCATTTTCAAAATGCTATACAATGTCTGAGTCCCATGCAAATAAAACTTTATTAGAAGTGCCTGCTGGGACAAATCCTAGACTTCTTCAAACTCTTTTAAGTTCTCCTTTCTCATATGTAGGCAGGATTTGAGGAAGAGGTACAAAAGTGCTAGAACCTCTAATGTGACATCACCAGAATATGGATTTTGGAAACTTTAGTCTTGAAAGTGGCACAGAACATCTTGCCTGCTACCTTACTGATAACTCTCAAAATAGTTTCCATGGCGATGTTAACATTTAAAACATGTCACAGATCCTGTTTGAGCTCAAGAATTAATTTCCTTAAGATTCATTATTAATATGACATCTCCCAGTTTCTCTGAATTTACAAGCAGGGAATCCTTATCAGATCAGGCTGCTGAATTCATGGTTCCCTTATTTCATGACATGAACAAGGCTTGAGGCATCCTCACACTCTGTATCTTCCTATCAGACAGAACTACAGTGGTGCCTCCCTTGACGACGATAAAGAATTAATTTCCTTAAGATTCATTATTAATATGACATCTCCCAGTTTCTCTGAATTTACAAGCAGGGAATCCTTATCAGATCAGGCTGCTGAATTCATGGTTCCCTTATTTCATGACATGAACAAGGCTTGAGGCATCCTCACACTCTGTATCTTCCTATCAGACAGAACTACAGTGGTGCCTCCCTTGACGACGATAATCCATTCCAGTTTCCTATCAGACAGAACTACTGTGGTGCCTCGCTTGATGACGATAATCCGTTCCAGCAAAATCACTGTAGAACGAAGTCGTTGTCAAGCAAAAGTAAAAAACCTATTGAAATGCATTGAAAACTGTTCAATGCGTTTCAATGGGCGAAGTACCTCACCATCCACCGAAGATCGTCCATAGGGCGGCCATTTTCTGGTGCCTGTATAGCGAGGAATACGTCCTTAACACAGCGGGGAGCCATTTTGCACAGCGGGGAGCCATTTTGACAGCCGCCGATCAGCTGTTTTTAGATCATCATTTAGCGAAAAATCGGTTCTCACAGCAGGGAACCGATCGTCGTTAAGTAGATTTTCCCCATTTAAACATCGTTTTGCGATCTGAAAAACCTCATCATTAAGCGGATTCGTCGTGGAGCAGGGTAATCGCTAAGCGGGGCACCACTGTACTTAATGAGGTCTTTTATTTCTGATTTTTTTTACTTCATTCCTCTTACTAGTGCTGTTTAAGTGTTTGACGGTCTGTTCAATCAGGCCTCTAGAACTCTGCTATACTTAATGAGGTCTTTTATTTCTGTTTTTTTTTTTTACTTCATTCCTCTTACTGGTGCTGTTTAAGTGTTTGAAGGTCTGTTCAATCAGGCCTCTAGAACTCTGATTGCAATTGTTTTTTCAAATCAAATACTTATTCTATGATCCAGAATTTTCTTGAGAAATCCTTATGATTGGATTCCCAATTACGCAGCTGTGTGAATATGCCCAGAACTGTACCATATCTGACAATGGTGGGAAATCAGATTGTAACAAATGTTTATGGCACACCTTGACAGAAACAAAAGGGCCCTCTGAAGTGGGTTTTCACTTTAGGCTCCTCTTAGCCTCCCTAGAGTCTTGAGTGAATGCCACTTTGCAACTCAGCTGGTCAGAAGGAAGATCACTCCGCAGAGATGAGACAAAGGGGAATTATATTTTCTGCAACATCCACTACTTAATATGCCATACTTCAGACCTCACTTGCAGCACACTTGACACAAAGGTCTAACTGGATTGCAATTCCCATCGGCCCTAACCACCACCGCAAATGATAAGGGCAGATGAGAGTTACATTCTAAAAGTATCAGGAGAGCTACAGGTTCATTCACAAAGATTCACTTGGAGCGAGACACAGCACGCACATGGGCAGACTGTCAGAGGAATGGTCCAAAGGTCAATTCCTGCAACTCACATGTGATCAGCCTCTCCCACATTGCAGCAGCAATGATCAACCAGGAGGAGGGGGAGGTTCCACCCTCCCTCTGCTACAGCAGTTAAGACTTAAGACAAGCAAAACCTAGGTAAGCACAGGCTGACACCTTCTGTAACTCTCTTTTGCACCGACTCCAACTCAGCCTGCACACAGAAATTGCCCAAGGCCTCTACTCCATTATTTTAAACCTTCCACTCACTGTGGACTCTGTTGGTAATGGTGGTGGTGGTGGTGGTAGTGGCGGTGGTGCTGACACCCGCTTATGGCGTCGCCTTGGGGCCCCCAGAGCCTTGGGAGGAGGCCCATCCTAGTAGGCACAGGGGAGAGGGAGAAGAGGAAGAAAGAAAACAGAAGGACAGATAAAGATATAAAACGCTGAGAGAGCAGCAGAAATCCCAGTCACATAATCCTGAGGTCATTGACAACGAATCTGTCAGAACTCTACCCCACCATTCTCCAAAAATCACGTTATCCCATAAACCTTGCAAGACAGATTAGACACAGAGATCCAATATCAGCTTAATGTCCTAGTCAACAGTCCTTAAAATCTGTCACTGCTTAAAATGCCTATTCCAAATATCTCATTTCTGGCCCCAGAACTGGGCACCAGAACACCTACCACTGTTCTCCCCTTCTGCTCCCCCAACCTCATGATATCCGCCCAGCAAAGGAGTGACTCAGTGGATGGTGCATGCACGATGGGGCTGCCCCACATGCTGAACAGCATGCAGAAGTGACGCCACTCACTGTTGCAGGGGCTGGCTTCTTCTGCCGGCGTCGTGCTGGGGTAACAGTATCCTTTGCAGAGGCTGCTTCCTGGTGCCAACCGGGAAAGAGCCAAAGAAGCCATTAGGCACATCACTCACTTAGGCAAGGAGGGAACAACACCAATGACATGTACTTCGGAGGTGAGTGGGTGGGTTCTTCCCCAAGAATAGACACAACTACAGAGAAATCCATGCACAAGGCCAATGTCTCAAGCCGCGGGTTCTCTTGCACAGCTGTCACCAAAAAAGGAACCAACAGGTCACCGTCCTGCTACTAAGAAGAAGTCACCTCCCTAAATCAGACTTCCTGCCAGGCTACAGCTGTACATTCACACCCTCCACATCTGACAGATGACTGCACAAGAGGAAAAGCACATCGGCTGCATGAGAAAAACAACAACAACCAGAAACAAAGATGCTACACAAAACAGTTGAGGAGCAATCAAGAGGCACAGATGAGCAGGAGAGTAGCACAGAATGGAGTGCATGCCAAGCTCAGAGAAGACCACACGCCTGGTACTTACTATGGTAAGCTTCTTGGAGCTACAGGTGTCCTTCTTGGGGGGCATTTTTTTCTGGAAGAAACAAGAACTGATCAGTGCCAGAGCTATGTGACAATAAAGTATGATGAATGACATCAGCCAACAGGGATGTGAGATCAAGAAAATGATTTTATAGCCTGAAATAAATCTATAGGTGAAATGTAAGAGCAGGTAAAGCAATCCACAGTAAAACAATTAAGAAGGAATTATAGATGTTTGTTGTAGGCTCTTTGTAAAAAGTCAGAGGAGGAAGACAGGAGTGAGGGAAAAAAACATGGCCTGATATGTGGGAAGAAGATGATAATGGGTCATAAATCGTATTCCTGACACTACCCAGATGTGCCTAGTGTTAACATTCCTGGAACATCCTATGAATGATGCCTTGTTCTTTATGCATTTGCGTTTTAGTACTTTTGTATCTGTCTATATAAGGTCTCCAGATGGTCCCAGTAGAGAGGAGCACATGATGTATTACTGAACTGCTTGTGTGTGGTTTTGTGTTATTAAGGTTTTCTTTGGTTAGTTTTTTTGGTTAATTGGAGGGAGTTATATATATGAAAAACTATACATACACGTTCATATACAGTCCTAGTAACACACATATGTTTGAGAATACACACATAAGCCTCGGTATTTTCCTCCAGCGACATCTTAATAAAATGCTTCCCTGCCACCTCCCTGTCATAGTAAACAACCTGAGTCCCACCCAGCGGGGCTGAAAACTAGAGGCCATGTTGCAGCACAAAGTTTTGCCTGCACAGATGTGAAGGTGGATTGTGAGGCAGGGAGGGAAAGGGGAAATAATGAGAGAAAGAGAGAGGGGATTACGTATCAGGTCACGCAAAAGGCCTTTCATTAGCTATATTAAGCAGGAACATCAAAGCAAACTTTCCATTCTCAAACACAGAAATGGTTATGTTTGCCAAATGCTAGGTAGGTGTCAGATACCCAATAACTGGAATTCTGGAGACTTGAGTTCACATCCCTGCTCAGCCAGACACACTGACTAGGGAGGAGGGTGGAACTGGTAAAACCACTCCCTGAATAATCTCACCTACCTCAAAAGCCCTATTAGGGTCATTTTAAGTCAGTTCTAACTTGATGACATGTAACACACTAAATTAGTAGAAACAAGCCAGAATAAGACAACCTTGGACCTGGGTCCCTTTGGTAGATGGAAACCGAGGAATTCCAACCGTCTGTTGTACGAGGGTTTTATACTTCTCTGGCCTTCCCTTTTGGCCCAATGTCTCTTTCTCTACAAACCGGTCTTTCCCTAAAAGTGGAGAGTGAAGGGCTGACCTAGGAGTAACTTGTATGGTTTGAACCCCACCTCTCCCCAAGCGCAAGTGGGCCTTCCAGGAGATTTTGAGATGGGCATCAAGCAGAACAGCCTGATCTCACTGGCCTTCATTGCTTACATCTCTTGGAGAGGAAATGACCCTCAATCCCCACTCCGCAGTCTTCACAACCCTTGAATTACATTCCTTCTTTGCAAAACAGAAGTCTGACCTTGGCTACAGGATATCTGTCTCTTAGGAAGCATTTTGATTTTCCAAAATGTAAAAATAAAAGGGTCCCGTTCTCGTTTACATGTGAAGAAGTGACAACACAACTAACAACTCTTTTTCTTTTTCTTCTTTTTTTCCCAAACCGGAAAAGAACAGACAAGCAAAGGGAAGAAGCAGAAAAAGAAGAAAACGCGGATTAGAGGTAATTGAGTATTTACCATTTGATGTGAAAAGAATAAATCACTCTGAAAACTCTCTTAAGCTGCTGCTCACCCAGAGGAAAGATGTCACATTCCTAGGGGATCCAGCAGGCAAAAGTCAAATAAGCCAGTCCAAGGTCAGACGTCCGGGAGATACAAAACAGATGCCAAATTGTCAAAGCCAAAACACAAACCGTAGTCAGAAGTCAGAGTCCAAAAGCCAAGGGTCAAGAGAGCAAGGTTCAAGATAAGCAGGACCGTGGATACAAGCCAGAGAACTGACTTGTTGCTTCCATGAGCTTCCAAGCCTCTGGATACAAATTATATAGCAGCAACAATCATCTAATTCCTAGAAACATTCCATCCTGTTAAAACTCAGGGTTGGTTGACCTGACGTTCCTGTGAGAAGCACTCATTCGAGCCTCAGACCTCTGTGTTGTGAGTCTCTCCCAAAGCTTATTTCTCCCTCTGGCTAGTGGGGGGGGGGAGAATCTGGGGGTGATTCAGGGGTCTGTGCTTCTAATTGCCCAGCATTTTCCTCAGTTGTAATTAACCCCTCTGATTCCAGATCTTCTTTGGCTGAACTCATGACAAAAGAAGAGTAAAAATCGATAGGGAACATTTGGGCTTGGGCAAGGCAGCAGGGGCGCTCCTGGGCTAAGCTTTCCGAGGCTAGTTTCAGGCACAAAGAAGAACATGTTTTTTCACAGAAACAAATACATTTTAGCAACACTTAGGGATACAGCTGTGTGTTTAGCACTTTTTCAGGTCAACCAAAAAGGATGAGTGTTTTTTGAATCTTCTAACAATCCACAGAATACGGTCAGGAATTTCAGCCACTAGAAGACACCTCTTAAAAGCATTACATCTCACATAGACCAAAATCCTGTTGTATAAATTATGCAAGCCTCCAGAAGGCTGTCAATGCAGGGTAAGATTTTCATTAATTAACAACTAAACGGACATTTATTAACTATGCATGTCTGCAAAGCCTGCTCAAATAATGACACTTTACTCTGGAATACTTTTTGCATTATGTATGTATGTATCTATGTATGAACAGTTATGTATTATCCCATGTTTTATTGTTTTATCCTATATTGTAAGCCACCTAGAGTGGACGCGTCGCCCAGATAAACAGACAGACAGACAAACAAACAAATAAATAAATAAACAACAACAACAACAGCAACAACAAGAAGGTATCAACTTATGTATCACCCCATAGTGCTTGGAGCATTCTCTGGGTGGCTTACAACATAATTACGCAAAGAAGGCTTTGTTCTATTATGGGTACTATTCCAACAAGTTAATTTGTGACCTGCATTTTAAATGCAGTCTATGATTTCACTGTGTTTTTTAATACAGACTGTAAGTCACCCTAGACTTCCAAGAGGAAGAGTGGAATACCAATCAAGTCAATAATGAATAGTAATGATGGCTGATGGCTAGAGATGTAGAGTGAGCACAGTTTTTCTGGATATTCTGCACTTTTTAACATTCAGGTATGACAAACATCTTGGATTATAAAGAAAAGGTTAGGTTTATATAATTCAAATAAAAGAACAAAAAAAACCCATTAGGAACTCTACTGTGCATTCTTTTATTTGAAGAAGGAGAAATCCATGAATGGTTTAATTCCTACCATCACAGAGGAAGAGGGATGCATGTAAAACTGTGTCACTTTATGGCTTAGACCCTATATTCTGTCCTCAGTTCTGGCAAAACCAAGCAGGAGTGGGGGATTGTAGCAAATAACAGCAGACATACATGAGCAAAGAAAGCATACTGCTGATTGAGGGGGTCTGGATATCTCTTCCTACACAGGTAGGCACGGACTTTCACATTAGGTTTCTCAAAGCTCCATCTCTCTCAGTGGTGAAGGAGTTATCCATAAATAGGATGTATCCAAGCTCCACAGCATAATGGGACAGGAAACACTACTCTTAAGGACAGGGGGCCTATTTGAGTATCAAATGGCCAAAGGCCTTCCAAGCAGAGTGCTTGGTGAGTACAGATAGCAAGGTCAGGGTGCTGTTCTGCCAACTTCCAGCAGGGGAACATTGGTAAAGAAGTCTACTTAGGCAGAAGTTGCCCAGGTTGAATGAGCTGTAATGCAACTCGGTTTGGAATGGCCTTGGCTTTCAAAACAGTGAAATCACAAGCCTTGACTCACTGTGCCAAAGTGAAGGTCCAAACACTTCCCCCTCCCCCTACGGATGAGGGTGGAAAGAAGACAAAGAGGGCTTCTGGTCATCTGAAGGAAAACATTTTTTCATATAAATTTTGAGAGCTCATATAAAAAAATATATACTGTGCCTTTTCAGGAGAGTGACTCAGATAAAAGCTAAGGGATAGCCAGGTCTTGTCATCTCTGAAGGCACAGAAGATCAAACCTATACCCCTGTTTTTGTTGACAGAGAGGGCAACAGCTCTGAGACTCAGCATGCTACAGCAATCCCTCCCCCCAAAAAAAGTTACTTTAAAGGCACATAATCTAATGTACATTTGCTCCCATAAATTCTAAATGTGGACTAGTATCCTGAGTACAGCATAGATCAATTTGTCACAATGGAGAGATCGTAACTTGTGTAGATGAAAGAGAGGAGTAAAACCATGCAGAGCATTTTATAAAGACAATAGGCAAAAACCTATTTGAGAGAAAGATTTCTCCGAGTCTAAGGCAGGTGGAGAACAGGGTCTAAGCCACAGACAGTTTTATGCCATGTCTTCTGCCTCCTTGTGGGTGTCCATATGAGTGAACCCAATATTGGACTGGAAGCCCTTCTTTCCCCCACAGAAGACCAAAACCAAGTCCAGCCCAAGTACACACGTACACACACCTTGCGTTTAAGGCAGCGACGTCTGAGGCATTTCCACTGGCGCTTCATGCCTGGCTTCTGCCTCCGCAAACAGATAACACAATCGCCACAGTCTTCTGTTATCTTGCAGGCCTGGCACAAGCCACATTCAAGGCCCTGCAGAAGGTGGCCGGGGAGAAAGGAGGACAAAGAGAAACAGAGAAGAGTTAAGCCTCAAGACATTCGGAAAGGAGAAAGGAAAAGAGGAACAGCCAAATTATTGGGGAAAAGGAGCTCAGGGGAGGGATAAGCAAGGAGCAGCTGGTGGTACCTTTTTGACAATCTTCAAGCATCGGCGCAGCAGGCATTTGATGCCAATACGGAGCTCGGGGCTCTTGGCTCGCAGGACACACACACTGCAGATGCCGCAGTCCTGAGACATCTGGCAGGCTTGGCACACACCACAGCCAATTTGCTGCAAGGGCAGAGGGGTAGGGGGTGAGGAGGGGATTTGAGGGGAGGAAACAGCATGAGCCCCTCACCTCACTAGCCAGCCAGCCTGCCTGACTGCTTGCCTGAACCCAATAGAAGTGCCCCAAAGGACATTCCCTCCGACTATCTACTAGCCTTACATGACCAGGCCAAAGAAGGCGCCTCCTCACACAGAGTCACGCTACTGGGGCATTAAACCAAATACCATCCAAAAGGATAGCAAAAAGGACTTGAGCCAAGATTTTTTTTCTGTGTATCCCTGTTCAGTTTATTCTCTGTGGCTGCTCCCAGGTTGTAGAAGGTTTCCCCTCGGGAAATTAGGTTGCCCCCCACCTCTTTATTCTTCTGCCAAGAGCTGGAAGACTCAGCTCTTCAGGCAGGCTTTCAACAATCACAACTGAGTCAATGAATGCCATTTTTTAAACTGAGTTTTTAAATGTTAAATATTTCTAAACATTCAATAAATTTTATTTGCTACCATTTGTTTATTTGTTTTTAATGTATGCCATTTTTAATTCTACTTTTTTAACAGTGTGAGCCACCTTCAGTCCCCTTATCGGGAGAAAGACGGCCTATAAATAAGTCAAATAAATTAATTGAATAAATTGAAAACACCATGCAAAATGTTGTCATCAAACACCATTTAAAAATTATACTTCTATCACACTCTTGATCTTGGTAAGCAAGAAATATGAAACTCGTATTTCGATAATTTCTGTATATATTCTCAGCTCTACAGATACCTAAGAACCAAGTGTTGGGTCCCTTTACTTTTGGTCCTCTACACTAATGCTCTATTTCATCCCAGCGCATGGCCAGCTTGTTCTGAAATCGCTCTGACATTTTGACTTCTGACTTCTCTTTAAAATGATTACTAGAGTGTCTGGGCCCTTTTTTAAAAAAGCATCCTGTCATCAGCCAGTCTGGTGGCGTGATGTTTTCAAAGTCATCCCTCAATCTGCCAGTTGAAGGACATACAACAGTATTTATATGATACTGTTCTATTCAGGCACTCTTCTATTCAGGCATAGAATGATTTTAAAGCACTACAAAGGTGTTAGCATACAGTAGGAACCCCCATACTCCTAAGGGATCAGTTCCAAGGCCCCCTTGCAGATGCTGAAAAAGTATGGCTGTACGTCAATGTATAGTCAATGCTATACACAGTATGGTCTCTGGCTCACCTTAACGGTCAGTTCGGATCATGATGTTGTGAAAATATATTTATGTAGTAAATGTTATACATAGCATGGTCTCTGGCTTCCTCTAGTGGCCAATTTTGGTAACTTCACCTTTAGAGATATGTATTTCTAGGATTTTTCTTTTAATATTTTTGATAGTTTCAGACCGTGGATAAGTGAATCAGCGGATACTGATCCTGCAGATAAGGGGATCCTGCTGTATGCAAGTCACTGTGGGCCGGCTGGCTAGGTTGGGACACCTAAAGAGAGAGAGACACCAGCTACAAAGCAGGGAGAGACATTATCACAAAAGCCAGATCTTCATAATTCAGACAAGGATTCCCTCCCTCTCCCTCTCCCTCTCTCTCACACACAGGCTCTATTCATGTATACGCCTAAGGGTACAAAGGGCTACATTTGTAGTGGGGATGCACATAATCCCTGCTTCCACCACTCAGACATCCGTTAAGACTTGTTGGTGTTTTGAAGAGGACTGTGAAAGCTAAAAGTCTTCACTGGATTCTCCGACTCAGCACACAAAGATAAGGCAGACTTCTGGGTTGCAGGGGGAATTCAGGTTTGTGTGTGCATCCCTATCCTCACTATAGATTTAGGCTCTATACATGAACAAGTAACTGGACAGAATGGGCGTCACACAGTAGTGTCAGAAATCTGCATTTCAATACTAATGCCTAAATCAGAAAAGCTGCATTTAAGCTGTAGATTTTACCTTGTAGTATCTCTGCTCCCGGTTGAAATCTCTTCTCTGGGCTGGAAAGGAGAAGGAGAAAAAAAATAAATCAATAACATTCATGCAAAAAAGAGGAGCATCAGCTTAAACTTCTCCTGAATGTTACAGGAAATAATTCAACCTAACCAACACACAACATAACAAGCCTAGGGGGACTGGTCCAGTCCAACAATCCTGAAGACAGCAGCTGAAGAACAGACATGCATGTCAGGAGTTAACTGAAACAACACAGCAAACCAAAGATTGCCAGCCACGGGAGAAATACAGAAGATGAAGGCTGCAGAGCTCCATGGTATAAAAGGGCCTTCTCCTACATCGATTTCCCAGCCTCCGAAATCCAGGTGGAAAAGCCTGTCTTGTGACTTCTGTAACTGAAGGTATGTATTTATTAAATTTATATACTGCCCCATTAGTGCACCATTCTGGGCGGTTTACAGCAATTGTAAATAAATCAAATAATGTTAAGCTGCAAATACACATACACAACTAGCGAAACATTTATCAGATAACACCCATGGCAAACAGCATGGGGTAACATTCTTCTGGAAACGGCATGCCTAACATTTGGACTCCCTGTCCAGGAACTCAATGCTGGCTTTCAAATTCCAAATAAAAGTCTTCAATGAGGGGCAGAATCTCTCACTACTGATATTTATACACCGTATATACTCGAGTATAAACAACCCGAATATAAGCCAAGACACCGAATTTTACCACAAAAAGCTGGGGAAAATTATTGACTTGAGTATAAGCCAAGGGTGGAAAATGCGGCAGCTACTGCAAAATAAAAATAGATACCAATAAAATTACATTAATTGGGACATCAGTAGATTAAATGTTTTTGAAGATATTGTCCTTCTGAGCTGCGAGACCACTGCCTGTGGAGGGAGGACTCATGCCGGATGCTGCGCTTATCTACTGCTCTACTGCTACGTAACAAGATGGAGGGAGACAGAGGATGGAGGAGGAAGGTGGATGCATAGAATATGCAGAAGGAGGAGGATGTGCCTGTCCTGGAAGCGGAAATGCAGTGCAATTAGCTCAGGTCATTGGACAACCTACAGAGGCTGCAGGCGCCCGTAGGTTAGTGGGGGAGTCCGGAGAACACTCGCACTGCAGGGGAGCACAGATAATTTTGACACTGACTCGAGTATAAGCCGAGGGGGGTGCTTTTTCAGCAAAAAAAAATGTGCTGAAAAACTAGACCTATACATGGATTACTAGAAAACCACCCTCATCATGATGACCCGGGTGCTATAGAGAAGGGGCTGATGCAACACAAAGCCACTGGGAGAAGTGGGGTGCATTCTGTTCTCTCCTGGCCTTCATGGGCCAACTAAGGCATCAAGCTTTGACCATGTCCCCTAATGCAGCACTCTTTTCACAAATCCTCTTTCTATGTTATTTCCCCAATATACTTGACGTTGTGTTACGAGCCGATACTTTACCACAGTCTATACGAAAAGAGGGTTTTTTTTTTTCAAAAAGAAGGAAAGAAAACAAGGATCCTGTGGTACAGCTACATTCAATTCCAGTCAGACATCTATCACAGGCAGACAAACTCTCAGCTCATTGTTTATATCTGTGTTAAAAAGTCTCTTTGATCACACTTTGAGAAAGAGGGAAGAGAAGAGTGTAAACACAGGATTAAATGTATCCTGTACCTGCAGTAGTGCATTAAATAAGTACAGGACCCAGTTTCTGCAGGGCATGCAACTTCCTGAGAATCACTTTTTTCCTTCTATTTATTGTTAAGAGTACCAGCAACAAGCATAGCATGAGTACTTTGGGACAGTGTCTGATGAAACCTTAGTACTGGAAGGAGTGCAGACCTAGACAAAACTCCTAGAGGTCAAGGAGTTACTTCTACTAGGCAAAAGCAGGGGCATAAGCAGAAAGAAGCACGCGCAAACAGGGCCAGTGTGGTGCAGTGGCTCGAGGGAGACTTTGGAATCTGGAAGACCCAGGTTCCAGTTGCCACTAAGACATGAAATTCACTGGGTGATCTTGGCAATCATTTTCTCCCTCTCAGTCCTACTTCACAGGATTGCTGTTAGTATAAAATAGTCAGAGTTTGATACTTTCTCTGTTTAAGAATTAAAGCAAATATAAGGGGTTATAGGCATAGACCTAAAATGCCTAAAAGTGTAGTGCTTTTAGCCTCTGTGGCATGAAAACACTGTTGACCACAATTCAGTCTGACAATCTCTTATTCCGTTTTGCCTTCCAGTCCAAACACAAGAGATATGAAAACAGTAAACGGGGACAACTAATGGATAAATACATGCATATCACTTGCTTACTGGGAGATGTGTGGGATGTCGGCAATGATTTTCTGTCTGCTTATAAGCAATAGCAGAAAAAAAAGGTAAAATAAAAAATCAATTTTATATATTCTTATTTTAAGAACTTTGACTTTTTTCCTATGCTTTTAGAAGATGGCTTTTAGGGCTTCTAAAGGCTTTTAAAACCACAATGCTTTTATTTTTAAATGATGTATTCAAGAGATATCTTCTCTGCCTATATAGGTTACAAGCTCCTCTATTTTTAAAAATGTAACTTAAAACATTGTTTCTGATATTTGATTGTATTTTATTTTTGGATTTTTGATTCAAACAAAGCTACAACACCTGTGACTTTTCACAAGTTGCAAGGATGGGTTTTAAGTATTTAATACCTACAGCTTTTTCTTATAACTGTATGATTGTCTTCAATATATTTTGGATTTGCTATTTTTGAATTATGGAACCTAGAAGCAATGTAGATAAAGCTTGGAAAATAACAATTTTGGAACTGCCTGGAATTATTAGAACAAAGGAAAATACTTATACTAAGATACCCAGATGAATTTTGAACTGCTTGTCTCTGTTTAATTTCATTCTGCTGTTAACCCTTTACAGGGATATTGACAACGATGATAACTCTAGAAAACTTTTGTCAGGTATAAACACATATAAGCTTCTGTGATTTGCCCTGCAAGCCTGCCTTTAGGTTGGCTTGTAAGGGACGTCATACTGAGAGCCTCCCAGCAAGGTCTGACAGAACGGCGAGTCAGCCAGGAGTTGAACCTTGAATCTTCTGTCTCTCACTGCTCTTCCCAAAATGGGAAGGAGGAGATCCTTGAGCTCTCTACAGGTGAAAGGAGATAAGCGAGAGCTGGACCATAAAGAAAGCTGGCCGCCAAAGAATTGATGCTTTTGAGTTGTGGTGCTGAAGGAGGCTCTCAAGAGTCCCCTGGACTGCAAGGAGAACAAACTTTTCCATTCTAAAGGAAATCAACCTTGAGTGCTCACTGGAAGGACAGATCCTGAAGCTGAGGCTCCAATACTTTGGAGAAGAGAAGACTCCCTGGAAAAGACCCTGATGTTGGCAAAATGTGAAGGCAAAAGGAGAAGGGAACGACAGAGGACGAGATGGTTGGACAGTGTCATCGAAGCAACCAACATGAATCTGACCAGTGCAAGACAGGAGGCAGTGGAAGACAGGAGGGCCTGGCGTGCTCTGGTCTGTGGGGTCACAAAGAGTCAGACACAACTAAATGACTAAACAAGAACAATACAGTAAATGAATAAGGACAGGTTACCTATCAGCAACTGTAGTTCTTCGAGTGTTCATCTGTGAATGGGTTTTTCCACTCCTGTGTAGACCTCTTCAGAACCTTCCCAAGGCTTAGAAAAAATGTGAACACCCACTCTCACCACTGAACATGCTCTCCACCTCACTGCTTATCCTCATTTCCCCGTCATTCACTGAAATAAAAACAGGAGTTGCATGACGGACTGAGGAGAAGATGAAGTGTGGCATGTGAATTCACAGATGACCACTCAAAGAATTACAGTTATGGGTAAGCAACCTCTCCATCTTCTTCATTGTCTCTGTGACTCACACAGAGGTAGGTTTACAAAGAGTTGAGATGCTGGCACATCTGAGGGTTGGTATGCAACTACTGCCAGCAAATAGACTTTAATAGATGAATACAAAGGCCACTCTGCTTTAACTTCACCAAGAAGAATAAGACAAAGTATAATGGGGGCTGCAAAAAAGGTTCACTTAATGACTTAGCATAAAGAACTAATTTGCTCCACTTGCAACTATAGTAACATCTTGTGGATGGTTTTCTGGATTCCAATATAATTATTTTCAGCAATGGAAAATTCTCCAGGCCATCAGTTTCAGTCTGGCTAAGTCTAGATGATAAACTAATGCTCTGTTCTGCATTATCAGATCCGGTGTTATTGGTGGGTGGTAATTGTCTGATGCCATGAGCTTAAGGTTCCAAATCAGGTTTAAAGTGGTCACTATGGAGCAATGAAAATCACGTAGGCCCTTTGTTGACAAAGTTTTACTATGAAGTGGTGGGTAGTACCACTTTGTGGTATATAGTAGTATATACAGTAGTAGCTTCTTTGTCCTCTTGATTGTGAAAGGATCTTCAACAGACCCATAACCACGATTGGCCCATGAGCAGAAAGTGTGGCATTTCTTGTTGGATTTGGTTGAGAGTCAGATGACTCCAGAAGATGCAAAATTGGCCCATGAGCAGAAAGTGTGGTGTTTCTCGTTGGATTTGGTTGCAAAGGGATTGAGAGTCAGATGACTCCAGAAGATGCAAAAGTTCTCAGATACAGCTCGGGGGGCACTCATGAATCTAAGAATTCCATCTGCTCAGATGACTGGCTTACTGGTTGTCCTCCCCTGCTTTGTATATAGATAATAGAGAATATGATTCTGGACACATCACCTCCATAGATGGACTGTAAGGAAGCGGAAAGACAATGAGTATGTACTTCCCTGTCTGTTTATGTAGTACATTACAGTGGTATTGTCCATGGTGGTTTTGTAATACTATTTTGTAATGGCTAGAAAAGATTGGTGTTGGTGACTCAAAATCTGAGGATGCTGTTGAAACTGATCTAGCCTGAGTTGTCAGGATCAGAGACTTAGAGGTTGCCCCTGTTCTTGCTCCTCAATGCCAAGTCTATTCCAGCAGGCAGGCAGTTATTGTTGTGATTTGCCCATTTTGATGCCAGGACTGGGGATTTCAATGCCAATCTGGAATCGCAGCAGACAGAATGCTCTGACATCTGTCGATGCCTTCTGACATCCAGTGAGCATGATGCTGAGTCCCCTTAGTATCCCATATCGATGAGCATAAGGAACTAACATCAGCTGGCTCTTGGGAAGCGCCTGCATGCTTCCCTCTCTGTACCCTGTGAAAGTCAAAATAGGTTGGTGGGATGTGCCATTCTTGGCCTGGGTAGAACTTTCAACGCCACTGGGTGGGGCTCCACCTCGCACATGCGTGACTTTGCTCCTGCACACTTGCACGACTCCCCCACACGCAGGGTTCCGTCATAACTGGAACCTAACACAATCACTGCAAGGTGGGGGAAGACAGTTGCACAGAGGCAGGGAAAGGCACACACACACACACATGCAATGACTTTGCTCCTGCACACCTGCACGACTCCCCCACACATCATAACTGGAACCTAACACAATCACTGCAAGGTGGGGGAAGACAGTTGCACAGAGGCAGGGAAAGGCACACACACACACACATGCACATGTCCCACTTAGAGGGAACCTTGGCTTAAGGCAAGTGCCATGATGGAGTTTGAGAAAGAGATTGATGGTATATTTTTGGACTTAGAGTGAACCTTGGCTTAAGGCAAGTGCCATGATGGAGTTTGAGAAAGAGATTGATGGTATATTTTTGGAGTTTTGGTTCTTGCCTTCTTAGGTTAGCTACTGTTGGTACCAGTGGTTTTCCGTTGAAACCGAGGTCAATTCAGACTTGGCTTTGGACACAGACAGCCTGTTCTCAGTGATGGCAGCAAGTAGCTGTTGTGGAGGTTCCAGCTGTTGTGGGGCTGGATGATCTACCGTTCTGGCTGATACTGTTTCTGACTGAACAGTCTCCATTAAGAACTGTTCAGATGGTATTTTACAAATTAAAATGGAAGAAAGCGATGTTATGGTCTGAAATTTCAAGACAGTATCAACAGCTTGAAGGGACCTTTCCCACAAGTAGGACCATAGTCTAGACCACTGGTTCTTAACCTCGGGTTACTCAGGAGTTTTGGACTGCAACTCCCAGAAGCCTTCACCACCAACTGTGCTGGCTGGGGTTTCTGGGAGTTGCAGTTCAAAAACATCCGAGTAACAAAGGTTAAGAACCACTGGTCTAGACCGCTGATTCTTAATTGTGTCTTTCGTACATTTTTTTTACAAATCTGGAAGTTGTGTGTCTGATCTTCATCCAAACAATAGAGGCACCTAGAGTGTCTGTCTAACAGGAGTGTCTTGTTGTTATAGGGGACACACTTTTTATAAGGGCCCGCTGGGTCACAGAAAAACAAATTGGAACAATTTTTTTAAAGGGGAGAAGGACAACAACAAAGAGGTAGATGAAAGAAAACCAAAAAAAATGAAACAGGTAACATAAGAAAAGGTAAGCAGAAACAAAGAAACTGTTGTATGAAGACTCTAGACGCCCCGAAGGTGTTACCTCAGCAGTAGCTAAAGGAACTGAAGATAAGCGGTGAGGTAGAGCATGCACAGTGGGGAGAGTGGGCATTAACTGTTTTTGCCTAAGGCTCTGGAATGATCTGAAGATCTCCACGCAGGAGCGGGGAAACCCATTGGTGTGAACCACAGGGACCACAAAGAAGAAATGAACGGGACAAGGCCACATTTCATCTCACTAGCATTCTTGGCAAGTAGAATCCTACTGTTCTCAGCTATGAAGACAAAGGATCGATCTTCTGTGACACTTCTGTTCTTTTACCACCTTAGACTGGGGTTGTGTCTTCTGTTTCTCTCTCCTGTATGTGGAAGAAAGGCCTAAAAGAACTGTCCCAAATTAAGTGTTTAAAGAGAAGCAGAAAGTTGGAATAGGAAAAGACAACAGGATGTAGACTATGATGGAAGTAAATGAATACCTGGAATACTAAGCACCTGAATAAAACCTCATGCCTAATCTTGCCACCACAATACCCACCTCTGCAATCTGGACAGAGCCACCGGCAGCGTCTCTGGGTTGGAAGCATCACACCTGGGAACTGAACCTGACAGCTGGCACAGCATCTGGAACAGAAAAGGGGAGAAGAATTGAAAATGACAAACCACCCTCATTCATTTAATCTGTCTTCAGGCACAGAACAATACTGTTCACCTGGAAGGAATTCCAGGTATTAGTTCTACAGTATAAAGTCCTAATATCTCAGGACCCAGGTACAATCAAGGACTGCATTCCTCCATCTGATCTACCTGAAACATAATATCATCTCGGCAGGCTCTGCTTCTAATGGTCCAGAATAGGGAAGGCCACCCAGGCAGGCCCCTTCTTGGCAATAGTGGGCTGGTTTTGGAACTCCAAACTGGGAGTTAAATTGCAAAGGACAGTACCCAATGCATTTTGAATATGTTCAACACTGACTCCTGTTTAACAGAAGACTGCAGATGAATCCTCCTGATGGACAAAGTAGGTACACACAGAGCTCTAATGTCAGGTGGGCAGAGGGGAGCCCAGATTGCAACCCTCTGTGACAAGGAAATATTGGCTAAAATCTTGTTGCCAGAAGTTATGCCACATAAATATTTTTTTTAAAAAAATGGCAATCCTCACCACCAATGACAAGGTCCTGAGGCTCCCATAGTTACCCTTTCATCATTATGGAAAACCGAAGGATGTGGGGAAAGCCGTTCATTCCATAAAATCACCACCAGGATAATTTTATCAGCAACAACAACTTTCAGAAATGAAAGATTTCACCCTCTACCTCAACGTCCAAGGGAAGCACAATGTTATGATTTTTCCCTGTATTTTCTGAATGTTGTTTTTGTTGTTTCTATTCCTATTACTGTGTTATTTTGATGTTGGTCTGTTAGCCATCCAGGGTAGTGGCTCTGCTACTAGTTGGGCAGGATACGAGAAATGTGGACATGTAGGCAGGTAAGTAAGTAAGTAAGTAAGTAGACATGTAGGCAGGTAGGTAGGTAGGTAGGTAGGTAGGTAAGGAAGGAAGGAAGGAAGGAAGGAAGGAAGGAAGGAAGCAAGCAAGCAAGCAAGCAAGCAAGCAAGCAAGCAAGCTATTGCGTTCAAGATCATTCAACAGATCAGGGAAGGGAAAGGATTACCTCCACTATATGCTAAGCAGAACCAACTTCCCTTTATTATGATGATGATCAACAAACAAGCAAACCAACGAACAAGCAAGCAACCCAACAAACCTACAGCCCTCAACAGCTTTCCCACAACAAAACAGATTCTACTGGAGCCTTGGGACCTTTGGGGAGGGCCGGATTGGAATGCTGTTATTTCCAAAAGTCACCACAGATTATGATGGTATCTTCAGCCTTACGTGGCATAATTTGCACAACCAGATTTAAGCCAGCGTAAGGCTAAATTGTAGGATATGCTGAATGACATCTCTGAAAATGGATTTCTCCACATTTATTTACCTTCTAGGTATCAGTGTGGTGTAGCAGATAGAGTGCCAGACTAGGATTCTGGAGACCAGGGTTTGAATCCCCTGCTCAGTCATAGGAGCTCACTGTGGGTGTGGAACTGATAAAGCCTCTCCTTAAGTATCTCACTTTCCTTGACAGCCCTATTAGGCTCACTATAAGTCTGTTCTGACTTGACGGCACATAACTATTTGCCTTTAATTCAAAGCTCATGGGATTTGCTGGAGCCAACTGGAAGAGACACTAGAAAAATGCAGTCAACATACTCAACAGTGAGTCGCTAGCCCATGCCCTTCTCTAAAGAAAGAGTGTTTGTGCAGCTAACCCTAAGATCTAAAAACAAACTTAAAACATGCCACAACAGAAGACACGGCATTCCCCTGGTCACAAGCCTATTTTTCAGCAACTGGTCAGTTGCCAAAAGCCTGTCTGAGTTAAAAATATATAAACTAACATTTTTGTTATGTTCAACAAAAGTAGCAACAGAGGCAGAGATTTTATAGGGCATGGCAAGAAAACCCTTGTGAACCAGAGTGTGATTTCAAAACTGCAAGAAATGCAATTTTAGATTGAAAAGAGAATGCCTTTCATAACTCAGGAAACAATATGCATGGAATGGCATTGCAGTATGCATTTACAAGGAAGGTCACATTATAAACAGTTGCTATTGTTGTTACATGCTGCCAAGTCACCTCTGATGTACGGCAATCCCAAAAAAGGTTTGAAAGGTGTATAACATGTTCAAGGAATGGTTTACCACCACCACTCCCCCATGAGTTTTCATGACCAAGCAGGTCTCTGAACTCAGATCTTATCTAGCACTATACCACACTGGCTCTTATCTCTGTGTTTGAATCCCACCAAAATGATGCTTGGGCCTTTGGTGTCCAAACCGAGACAGAAACCTCCAAGGCACACCTCCAAAACTTCTGAGGCACAGCAAAAGATTTGTGTAGTTTAGAAAAAGTTTTCAAATGTGGCAATCAGACCTTGGCAAACCATCTACTTCTTCAAATTGTTTGGTGGACCTCCAGCATTGACCCTGAAGCTTACCAAGAGAAACTAACTCTCTACTGCAGAAAAGGAGCCAATGATATGCTTACGCTACAGTTTCCTCTGGATTGGTCTCTTGTACTGTGGCTTCTCCCCCACTTCCTGGTGCAAGGATGGGCGGGAGATGATTCCGGCAGCGACGCTTGCGGGGCTTTGGCGCTGGTTGATCGGCTGGAGCTGGAGGTTCCTGCTGCTCGGTCAGAACACTGAGAGGGGCCTCCTCCATTGGCAACTCCAGCTTCAGCTTGAGAGGCTTCTGGTCTGGAAGGTCTCGGTCTGGAGGCTCCTCCAATACTTTCAAGTCGGGAGGTTTTTTCGGCAGAGGAGGGGCTGCTGCCAGAGATGGAGGGTGCCTTTTCCGACTCTTTTTGATGTGGGGCTGAGGCAAGAATACATACAATGTTGTCAAAAACCTGCTCCAGGTGACTCAACAAGTGACAATGTATTTCCCAGTGTTCAGATGCTTTCTCTTCTAAGCAGCAGTCTGCAAATTCCCTAGAAAGGACCATTTCTAGATGCAGTGCATGCTGCTGCTTCTCCTTCTTCCTCTGTGCGATGCTTAGACAAACAGACAAGAGGCTTTGCTTTTCCTAATAAAGGTTTGAAACCGTATGCAGCGTGGAAAGAAAGCAGGCACAGAACAACCTGGCCTTTTCCACCCCCTTTCTGTTTCCCCTAGAGCAGGGGTGTCCAACCTTTCACCGTCCCTGGGCCACATTAGAAGATGAAAATTTGGTTTGGGCTGCACATAAATTTGGTTTGGGCCACATGGGGGGGGGCAGCCCTAGCTGTCCTCCGCAGCCTCGCTCCAAGCGCGCTTACCGGCAGCTGCAATCTCAGACAGCAGAGGCTGCCAGCTTCGACTCTAGTGGCTTTATGGGGCCGGGAGGGGGTCCACCTATTTATGGGGGTGGCGCAATGCAGTCACGCAACCCCCCTCTCCCCTCCCGCTCCTTCGTTCCTTCCCTCTCCCCCCCCTACCATTGTGATGTGCTCCGGCCGCATTCCGGCCGCAAGCGCCGGCAGTGTAACTTGAAACTTTGGAATTTCTTTTAAAAAAAATTGCACTGGGCCACATTACGAGCCAACCTGGGCCGCAGGTTGGGCAAGCCTGCCCTAGAGCCTTGGTCCTGGGGAAATCGCTCACCAGGCTGTTTTATGGCATTGCCTCCTACCGCTTGAATTTTGCTGCACGAGACTCAAGTGATAGGCCCAAACTGACTAGCTGCCACTGCCACTCTCATAACCTCAACATCAAGCAAACTGATATACCATTTTTTTGCAGCATGTAACCTCAGATTCCTTTTAAAGCTGTGTACTCAAAGAACACTGTGAAAGGAAGTTGCTTTAAATTCAAGTCAGGTCCATCTAGCACAATGTTGTTAGCATCAGGAATAGGGACTCGAGTTGTGGGACTAGCTGTCAAGTCAGAGACCTAAGTCGCACCCGGTAACTTGACTCAGACTTGACTTGGTTTTGTTTTTTGTTTTTCCATGACTCAGACTTGACTAAACAACTCAGAACCCATTCACCCACCCCTCCCTTTTTTCTGGAGAAAAAAAAGCTTGTTTTTTAAATAGGGACTCGGACTTGGGACTCTGTATCAATGATTCAGACTCAGCCTTGGGACTTGGGATTCAAAAACTTGCCAACATTCCTTGTTAACATGAAAAGGCAGCCATGGCTGCCTGGTGTTTCAGGCAGCATCTCAGCATTCCTTGTTGGTTTCTCATCCAAGTATTAACTGGAAACAACCCTGCTGAGATTCCAAAATCAAACAAAATCAGTGTGTTGTAGGTGGTTATGGTGGATTAGAGTCCATGATTTACCAAGAGTTATGACTGAGAAGTATCTCTCTCAGCACTTTTTTTTAACCAATCTGATTTATAAGTACAACACAGGGCAACCGATCTATGTTTGAGAATACTGTATGCCTTATTTAACCTTCTAGGATGGTCTGTTTGGCCTTGCCTCTAGGAAATTACATCACAATGAAGATCTTGCCTTGGAAGCTTTAAAGCACATCACCAAGGATTCATTTCCCAAGGTTGTTCACCATGGGAAACTTCCGCCCCATTACATAAAAGTAGACCCCCTGCAGCACAAATAAAAAGAAGGGGAAATACCATGTTGATAGCCTTCCTCCCCCTCCCCAAGATGGTTCTAGATACCCTACTGACAAGTAAATCTAACAGAGTTCCAGCCTAAGTAGGCTGCATGTGCACACTCACCCTCCAGTGGCTTCCTCCAGCAGGTGGGAGGGGTGGCGGGGCTGGGGGCTGTAGCAGGAGAAAGCAATCATAGGAAAAGGCAATTAGGTTCCAGCTTCTAAAGAGATTGTGCACAATCCACTCATTAACTAACTCTGGGTTTATGGAGTGGGGGAATCTATCACACAAGCTGACTCCAGTGGAAGACTTTTTTAAAAGCAACAATATAGGTCTCTCACCTAAGGGATCACCTCCCAATCTAAGGCTCACAGCAATGCTGGGCAGGATTTCACCATCAGTGGCCCAGGCCAGCAGGTAGAGACAGAAAACATCACATCCAAGCATGAAAAACTCATGGGATAATCGTGGGTCTGCTCACTGCATGATTATTTAAGTTGCTGTTGAATTAAATTAATTGTTGTTGAATTACCAGCAAATATCACTGTTGTTTTATAAAATGTAACTTTTCTTTATATTACTGTAAACCACTTTCTTTTTCATAGAAAGCAACATAAAAATAAACTTAATGAAGACGATGATGAAAATTGAGCAGTTGCTATCTCATGGCCTATTCTGTTTCACGGGCCTTTGATGAGGATGAAATGGCATACATCAATCTGAGTTCTAAGTATACAGGAAGGAAAGACTGCAAATAAAACACACACAAAAGGTAAATGAAGGTAAGCCTGCCTGGTTCTCCCTCTGAAACCCTTTTTAAAACACATGAAGTGTAGGATTAATTCCAAAAAGAGATAGCTGGACACCTGCTGTAGATTGCAAATCTGACCACAAGACATAGTAGTTGATTAATTTCTACAAAGCTGTCATTAGAACACTAATAATAATAATAATAATAATAATAATAATAATAATAATAATAATAATAATAATAATAATAATAATAAGAA